TGTTCGGTTTGGCTTCGGGCTGCGGCGAAGGCGGAACGAAGACAGAACGAGGGAGGACGAACGCGAGACGACAACGATACACACTGTTTTGGTCGAGCCCTGCCCTGCCCCCGTTGTGCGCGCCTCCAGCTTGCGCCACCGCGACCTGAGCCCCACTCGAAGCGTGCAGTCGGGCATGCCACTCTACAGGAGGAATCTTCAAAAATAGTCGAGCAGTCGTATGGGAACGATGTTTCTATGTTTGTTTGGCAATTTTGTTGCATTTGTTTGGAATGTGTTTTGTTTTTCGTCCAATCTCTTCCTGCAGGAGGACATGCCTGGCCTAGTCGAAGCGGCGCCGTGCCTCGCCGGGGCCCGTCGATGGGCCGCGCGGGCGCGCGCGCGGGGGCCGCTCGAAGGGCCCAGCGCGCGGGCGCGGGCGCCGCCTCGAGCACTGCCGCACGGGAGGCGGGAAAGGGGTGTGGTGTGCAGGGGTGCGCGGCCCCTGCTCGGCAGCGAGCCCGTGGGGGGGAAAACGAAGAAGTGGCGGGCCTTCGCAGGAGGCTCGGAAGTCCCCCGGCCCTCCGAGAAGTGTTCTCGGCAGGCCAGAGTCCTTCCGAGAAGCCGCGGCGCCTTCTAAGAAGGCCTTCTCCTCCTAATTCCCCCCTCTCGCTCGCCGCCGAGAATCTGGCAATGCCATCTATCATAGAAAAGGTCGCCACTTCCACGATTGGCCCCACACCCCTCTATGCCACACCCCTCTTTCCGATCTCCGACGCGCCATGGGGGAGCGATCCATGGGGGGGGGGAGAAGCGGCATTCTCTGTGCCCTGAAAAGGGGCCCAAAACGGGCACGGACGGTGCACGACTTGCCGTTCCCGCCCATTGACCCAGCCCTCTTACATGGGGTCCGAGTATAGACGGGGTCGGAGGATCGCGCCGCATCGCCGATGCATCGCCGATGCGGGTCGAAGCGGAGCTCGATTTTCTCCATGCCGACGTCGCCGATGCATAGGCGATGCATCGGCGTGCGGCGCGATCCTCCGATCGCGTCTATATTCGGACCCCTCCCAGGAGGCCTCCAATCGACCGCCCCCCCTCAATCCTTGCAATGTCCCCAGCATGGACAGGTGCTGCCATCTTGAGACATGTCACAGTAGCAGCAAATAGATCATCAACAACCTATATATATATATATATATATAATAGGCTGGCAATTTCACGCGCGCGCACGAGCGCGCGCGCGGGGAGACGCCGCCAAGGAGCTAGCATCCCGGCGCCAGCGCGTCGCGCGCGCGCGTTCTGCGGTTTGAGGCCCGCAGGGCTGGGCGAGCATCTCGAGCCCCCCAACCCTTCTGTCTCTGTCCCTGTCTCCCTCCTCCCCCCTTCCTGCGTTCCTTTTTCCGGTTCCCCTTCCTCCCTGGGGTTGTGGTCTCCCCCTCCGTGCCCCCCCCCCCTTCTCTGCGGGCCCCAGCCCGCTCGCGCCGCCCCCGCGAGGGGCGGCCAGTCGCGCCGACGGCGCGCCCCTGCGCGCTCGCCCCGCGAGCCCCGGCGTTTCTCCGCCCGGGCGGGGGTCTTGGTGGTCCCCAAACGTGTAATTCGGGTGGTGAGTTTTGGGCGATTCGGGTAATGGTTTTCGAGCGCTGGCTGGCCCGGGGGGCGCAAAACCTCGTGGCGACCGCGTGTCCCCAAACCCGGTGGCGACCCAGAATTAGTTTTTGGGGGAATCGGGGTCACCACCGGGTGTCTCACCACCGGACCGCGCTGGTTTCGAGAGTACGCATTGCGCAAATGTTCGTATAACGCGGCCATTCTCGCGGATCGAGGGGCCGTGTTCATGTACATAGCTGGGCGCGTACGTCCTTTGTGGGCTCCCTATACCCGCGAGCCCCGGCGTCTCTTCGCCCGGGGCGGGGGGCCGAGACGGCGCAGGGCGGCCCCCTGCTTGCAGAGAGGCGAGCTCCCTCGGCCGACGGCGGGGCGCCGGCGGCCGGGCGCCGGCGGCCGGGCGTCGGCGGCTGGGCGCCGGCGGCCATGTGCCAGCGGCGGGGCGCTCCTCCTCGCTCCTCGCTCCTCCTCCTCGCTCCTCCTCCTCGCTCCTCCTCCTCCTCCTCCTCCTCCTCCTCCTCCCCCTCCTCGCTCCTCCTCCTTTTCGCTCTCCTCCTCCTCGCTCCTCGCTCCTCCTCGCTCCTCGCTCCTCGCTCCTCCTCCTCGCTCCTCGCTCCTCCGTGTGCCAGCGACGGGGCGCTCCTCTCCTCTCCTCGCTCCTCCTCCTCCTCCTCCTCGCTCCTCCTCCTCCTCATCCTCCTCCTCCTCCTCCTCCTCCTCCTCCTCCTCCTCCTCCTCCTCGCTCCTCGCTCCTCGCTCCTCCTCCTCCTCGCTCCTCCTCGCTCCTCCTCCTCGCCCCTCCTCGCGCAAATTCGTCTCTCTTGCGCCAGCCCAGCTGGGGGCGCACGCCTTTCCCATGTGTTTTGTGTTCTGTAGTTATTCACGTATTTCGAGGCGTTCATGTTTGGTTCATTTGCGAAGTAAGAATTGGGTGGGAAATACGCGCGGCCGGGCGCGCCGATTTTCCAATTTGTCAATGATTTTGCTGAGGTAAAACAGTTGCAAAGAACATATAGGAAAATAGATAAGCGACGCACCTGCGCCACACCCGCGCTTATTTAACACATGGATTTTTCGCTTATTTTAGATAGCCTCGAGAAAGCGCACCTACCTTTCATGTGCATTTTACCTATTCGCCCACGCCAGGCCAGCGCAGAGCTGGAGTCGGCGCAGCCGGCCCGGGCCAGGGCAGGGCCGGGCTGCCAAGAGGCCAGAATAGCCTATGGGAAATCAATGTGTGTCGCTTTCTCGCCGTTTCGTTTCCGATGGCCTTCCGACACCTCAGGATGGCCCACGATGGCTCCAAGAGGGGCCCAAGAGGCCTCCAAGACTGCCCCAAGAGCGCTCCAAGTCCAAGAGCGCCCCGAGAGCGCCTCAAGAGGCGATTTTTGGGGCTCCCGAAGGGAGCCCTGATACTCTACTCCCTTGTTTGATCGATGTCTTCCAAGATGGTTCCAACAAGAGCATCCCTAAAGCTCCCAAGGGCGCCCCGGGAGGGCCCCAAGAGGCGCCCAGACGGCTCCAAGAGGCGCCCATCGGGCCTCCAAGGGGCTCCCAAGATACCCTCAAGAGGCATCAAGAGGATCCCAGAGGCACCCAAAACGCTCAACGACGGCCCTGGGCCCGCCAAGATGCCCCCCCAGACGCCCCAAGAGGCCTCTAAAAGGCTCATTGCGTCGGCCAGGGGTGTCTGAAAAGTGGGTTGACCCGAAGAGCCCGAAAAACCCGAAAAGCCCGAAAACCCCGAAAAGCCCGAAAAGCCCGAAAAGCTTGAGGTGCGAGGATGTATCGAGCGACGGCGCCCGAGGATATCTCGAGCGGCAAGCTTTTCGGGTAGTTTTTGCTTTTCGGATCATTCGGGCTACTCGGGCTACGCTGGCTCGACCACGAGGCGCCCGAGCAAGATGCACGAAAGCCTTCCGTGTGTCTTGCTCTTGGGCCCCTCTTGGGCCGCTCCCGCGGCCACGCCGGGGCGATTTTGGGCCTCCGGGGGTCGATCTCGGAGCCATGATGGGGCCATATCTTGGGGCTCTTCCGGGCCGCTCCGGGGGCCACGCCGGGGTCATTTTGGGCCCTCGGGGGGTCGAGCACGAGGCGCCCGAGCAAGATGCACGAAAGCCTTTCGTGTGTCTTGCTCTTGGGCCCCTCTTGGGGCGCTCCTGGGGCCTCGCCGGGATTGTCTTGAGCCTCCGGGGCTTGGGGCCCTTCCAGGGCGCTCCGGGGGCCACGCCGGGGTCATCTTGGGCCCTTCTGGGGGTCGACCTCGAGGCGCCCGAGCAGGATGCACGAAGGCACGACGAACGGCGACGACGACGACCGACGGACGGCGAAGACGACGACCGAAGGCGACGACGGCGACCACGACGAACGACGACGAACGACGACCACGACGACGACGAAGAACGGCGAACGACGAACGACGACGGCGACGAAGAACGACGAACGACGAACGACGACGGCGACGACGACGACGAAGAAGACGACCACGACGACGACGGTGACGACGACGACGCCCGTCTTGAAGTTCCGTTGGGGTTTTCAACGGGGCGTTCCCTGACAAGCTTCGTGGACAAAGGGGCGCTTCTCGTTGTTGGCCGGTCAGGTCTTTCGAATTGCCCTTGTATTCTTCGTTGGGAGTTGAATCTGCGATTTCCGCGGGCGCGGTTAGAATGTAAGCGCGCGCGTAGCGCGCGCGCGCGCGTGGTTCTAGCTCTTTAGTATTCCGCTCGCCCGACCCGCCCGCCCGTTAGGGTGCGCGTCCGATCCGGCCCGCCTGTCAGGGTTACGCGTGCTCGTTGCTTCGAGCACGCATCATATTTTAAATTCCCGCCCGCTTTTCAGGTTGTTCTGGCTTTTCTGGTGACCTGGGCGCCCATTCGGGCTGTTTGGGCTACTCGGGCTACTCTGGCCAGAGCTGCGAGGATGTCTCGAGCGGCGGTGTTCGAGTTGTGAAGATGTTTCGAGCGGTGGGCTTCTCGGGTTTTTCGGGTCAACCTGGCACTTTTTCTGGCTTTTCCGGCTTTCGGGCCAACCCAGTTACAGACACCCCTCGCCGACGCAGTGATTGCTGACAACAACATCCGAGGAGACTCCGAGAAGCATTCAAGAGGCTTTTGGCTCGTTTGTTCGCCCTCCTCCTCCTCCTCCTCCTCCTCCTCCTCCTCTCCTCATCATTCGCTTTCTCCTCCTCCTCCTCCCCCTCCTCTCTCGAACGAAAACGACTGTCCCCCACAGTGTTCTTACGCTTCCATCGTTGTCTCAACTCGCTTGGGCGTCGATTTTGGATGAGCTGGTGGGGATGCGCGAAGCGGCAAGAATTGACCAGTTGTCGTATCCGTTGGAGGTTGATCGTCCGCAAGCCATGGTGAGTCACCAGGGTTTGGATTAGTGCACCCATGCGAACCAATGAACAGGAGGGACGTGGTGAACGTCATGAAGATGCATTGTGGCGTCACGGTGGGTCAGCTGCTTGACTACATCACCGATTGTGCAGCATGCGAACAATCATATTACAGCGACGTTGCAGTGATTGATGTCAGTCTTGCTTGGCTGGGAAGAGCACTGGCCCTGATGCGCGCACGTTAGCGTCCAGCACGGTGTCATACAAGTGACAGTGATGCAGCTCGTATGTGTTGCTTCAGAATTTTCGAATGGTGTGCCAGCACATGTGAAGACCGCTTCGTGTAATTTGGTGGATGGTGTCTGGCCAGGCGAGCGCTTCACCACAGCGTTCGGTATGCATCGCGAGATCTGACACGCATTGCGCCAGCACTGTGCTTTTACGATTCCACGCGAGTTACCGCCCGAATCCCCAACTATGTTTTGCCTGAGCGTGCCCTACTAGTACTTCTTCTGAGTAAGCAACTCCCCTCCTCCCCCTCCCAATCCGGAAACATTCGGGACTGACAGATGCAATGATAGAGTTTGGAGCTGGTGTCCGGCGTCGGGAAGGCGACTGCGCCTGGTCCACCTGCGGCATGCTACCTTCCGTCTCGAGTGGTTGGATCGTCCATCTCGTCTCCCTCTTGTTCCTCATCCGGCGCCAGGTTGATCCGCGAGATGTTATCTTCCGTTTCAAGCGGTGGGGTCGTCAATCAGATACTTGTTACGTGATCTTGCCCACAGTCCAGCAAGTGGACCATTGCATTCAGCAGATCCAGGACTCTTGTAGACTTGTTGGTGGTATGTTGCACTTCGTCTGGCCTTTGGAGACTACGAACGTATGGCTCTCATAAGTCGATGGGTTGGGGCGGGGTGTGAAAGCCGTTATGAGGCCGCGAGTTCAGGGTTCGCAGTTGGTCGGAGGAATCGTGAGGACGTTCCACGCGGGAGGCGTTGGTGTGGTGGTTTTGCTTATCGAATGCGTTTGATAGACATGTATGGTCTGTTTGAGATGTTTGTGGTTGTTTCGAGTTTGTGGTCTCAAAGGGGCAGTTGTGTGTCCGAGCGACAAGTAGAATAGCGCCACTCCTCGCTTTGACCTTCAGGGGAGAGGTCGATAGTACAATTGGCACTTCACCATCGCAGTTTGTTTGTTGTTGTTGTTGTTGTTCTTGTTGTTGTTGTCGTTGTTGTGGTTGTGGTTGTGGTTGTGGTTGTGGTTGTGGTTGTGGTTGTGGTTGTTGTTGTGGTTGTTGTTGTTGTTGTTGTGGTTGTGGTTGTTGTTGTTGTTGTTGTTGTTGTTGTTGTTGCTGTTGCTGTTGTTGTTGTTGTTGTTGTTGTTGTTGTTGTTGTTGTTGTTGTTGTTGTTGTCGTTGTCGTTGTCGTTGTCGTTGTCGTTGTCGTTGTCGTTGTCGTTGCGAGCGCGGCGCATTTGCGCATGTGTCTACGCCATATCAGGACACTTACCGCCAAGATCTCTGTGATCCGATCGTTTGTAGGCTTGTCTATTTTGCCGGAGGCTCCACAGAGAAGTGCTGCAAGATGTAAACGTTCGTAGGGTGGACGGGAACACGTCCAGCTGCCCACAGCAGACCCCGTGAGCGCGCCACCGCGCCAGCGCAGCAGGGCAGCGTGAGGGAGGTTGAGTGAAAGACGGGTGTTGCAGCTTCTCTTTGGCCCCTTTGAGCACCCGCCGGGAGCCGCTTTGATCCGATCGGGAGGCATTCAGTGGTGTGCGGGTGGCGCATCCTGGGAGGCACCTTGAGGGTCTGATGGGCATTCAGGTGGGCTTCTTCGGGAGCCTCTGGGGCTTGAGGGCGTGTTGGGAACCTCGGAGGCAATGCTGTAAGAGAAGGCTGCCAGGGGCAGCTCGATTTCCGGCCCCCTCTGTACCGTCTCGAGGGCCTCTTGTGCCGTCTTGGAGCCCTATTGGACCATTGTGGGGCCCTCTCGGGACCGTGTTGGGCTGGACCTTGTGGACCATCTTGGATTTCTCACAAGACTGAAAGGGCCAGCATGTCATTATACGTCAAGACCCTGGAAAACACGGTTTTGCTCCAGAGGACCTTTTGGACCGTCTTGGGGGGCTCTTTGGGCCGTCTTGAGGGGCTCTTTGGGCCGTCTTGAGACCATACGAGGCCATCTTGGGGGCCCTCACGGAGCGTCTGTCGGCCTTCTTGGGATTGCTTTGGAAGCCTTCTGGCCGTCCAGGAGCGACCTTGGTTCCTCCTCCTCCTCCTCCTCCTTCCCCCCCATCCTCCTCCTCCTCGTCCTCCTCCCCCCCTCCTCCTACTCCTGCTCCTCCTCCTCCTCCTTCTCCTTTGGGTGTGTGTTCGTTACTGTGTGGGCTGTCTTGGGCGTGTTGTTTGGCTGTGTTGTTTTCTTATGTTATTTCAATGCGTATGGTGTTCTTGTGTTGTTTTGTGTTATTTGGGGATGTAATGACCCCATCGGGTACTGCCTCTTCAGGAATAACGCAAGTCCAATCAGTAAATTGTTCTGGCAAGTTGCAGCAAGCTGAAGAACTCAGGAGGGGAAAGGAGGGAGGGGGGACCTGCGGACGTCGCGTGCGGCGCAGGGATGGGGTCCGCCCTAGGATACACGAACGGAACATTACCAGGCAGCAGAGAGGCATTATACTACGCCCCAGCCTTCAGAAGGCACGATGCCGGATTGCAATCGAACGCGCGAGTAGGATCGCAGGATACGTATCCGCCAGAGTTGGCGGTCTCGGGGACAATCTCGGAGGGGATGGAGGCGCCCGGGGCCTCTTCTAGTGCCCCTTTTAGTGCCTTTCGTTTGGCCGTGTTAGGGGCCTCTTCTCAGGCCCTTCTTGGGATCCTGGGGGCTGTCTTCGGGCGATATTGGGGGCCTCTTGGGCCTTCGTGGACGCTCTCAAGGTTGAAAGCGCTCAAATGCTAACACAATACTAAACAAACATACTTGGGGCCGATTTTCAGTTTTCGGCCGGCTCGAGGGGCCCCCAAGATGGCTCACCAGACCCAGGTGGCATCTCAGGGCTCAAGGCATTATCGAAGTTAGGATTCCGAACCATGCTCCCGAGGGTTCGAGACAATTCGTGTGGGGAGTACGGTAGGCGTCACGAAAGTGCCCAGGAGCGCCACGAAATCCTGGAAATGGGAGGAGTTGGGACCCTCCAGAAGTATTTGAATACAACACTCATGATGGGTTTGAGCAGGACCTCCAGACAATGTTCTCAGTGTTTTCGGCACGGTGGCGGATGCAGTGGAGGCTGTATTGGGCGCAGGTTTGATTTGCAACACGTGCAACACGTGTGTTCTTTCGTTTGCCCGAGGAGCTCGCAGTTCCCAAGCGAGCTGCCTATGGAGCACTATTTGGTGCCACGTTCCTATGGTCACTGGCAGGAGAAGCTGCAGGTGTAGTCGCATTTGGTGGGTGAGGCATGACGAACGATTTTGCCGACACTGTGCGACTATTCTCGGTTGAGCGTGCGACCCTTATGTTGCTCTGTGATTGGTAGTAGCAGACTGGGATTACATTGGATGGCTCGAGGACGCATGTGTCGTCAGAAGGTCACGGATATCATCAGTTGCTTGCCGTTGCTTTGCGCCAGTTCGATCGCAAGCTGGAGCACGCGCGCCTGAGCAGGAAGCGAACATAATCCTCAGCCACCTCCTGCTCCTTCTTTCAGGAGGGAAGAAAACATATATACACAAATACTTGTCGATTCCCAGGACATGGAAGACATGGGAAGTGGAGTGGGAGGCGAACCTCCAGGACACATGGCAAAGATTTGGAACCCTGGGATTTGTGTCTATTCATTTGTGCGTCCCTGGGCCCCATCAGAACTGCAGGAAGGCCGCGCGGCTGCGAAGACCCGAGGGCAGGCAGATGCACGCGAGGCCAGGCTGAAGATCGTGCAGGAGCAAGGGCTGAGGTGAGCGCAGGGGCGAGGGGAGAGCGAAGGGCGAAGGGGAGGGGAGAGGCGTGGGGAGGGGAGGGAGGGGAAGAATGAAGTCGGGCCAGATTCACAAATAGCCAACAAAATAGTCTGGAGACGATTTGCTGACTTGTTTCGAATTTTTTTAGGCATGTTTTGAATATCTTCGGCAAACAAAAAACGCACGTAAGGGAGTCATGCCCGACCGAAGGGAAGAAGGACGGCGGAGGGCTCCCACGGGGCAGGTCGAGCAGAGCCGCCCTCTTCCTCTGCCACCCCGACCTGGACTTCCTGCTCCACGACTCGAAGTTCTGGGTCTTCACCACCGGCTGGCAGGAGGGGGCAGGGCTCATTCGATTCCTCCGATTCGATTCGATTCGATTTCGATGGCTTCCGATTCCGATTCGACTCGACTTGAGATTCCGACTTGGGCTCCGATTTCTTATTGGAGGCCTATTAGCCTGCCGATGTCTGCCGATTGGGCGGCCCCGCCCCCTCTCCTAGGGGGGCCACATGCGAACCCCACCCTCCCCTTCCGAAATCGTGGGGGGCAGGGGTAGGGTTCGCATGCGGCCCCCTCTCTCCGCCCACCTTGCAGCGAGCGGGCCATGAGGGCAGCGGGCCCCGAGGCTTCTCCACGGCAGCGCCTCTTCCTCGGGGCCCACCACGGGCGCCGGCGGTGCGCGAGAGAACACGACGTGGGAGGAGGCGCCGGCCCTGGGGGAGCATCCCCAGGATGCTGGGCCCGCGGTCCTCGCGCCGACGATCCCGCCTCTCTCCCCCAGCCTCCCCCTTGGCCTCGCTCCTGCCGGCTTCGGGGGCGGCGGGGGGGGGGCGTCGTGGCCCTCGGCCGGACGCAGCGCGAGAGGTGGGCCTGGACGCCGTTCCTCGGGGGTGGGCGGGCCGCCGGGGCCTCCCTGCGGAGGCGTGGTGGGCCCAGCGGGCGCCTGCTCGCAGAGTGACCGCCGTCTGGGCGGCGCTGCCAGGCCCCGCAGGGATCGGAAGACGACGACGACGACGACGGGGGGGGGTCGCAGCTCCTGCGTCCGCGTCGTGGAAAACCGTGGGCGGGAAACATACCTCTAGGTACCGGTGTGGGGAAACTTCCTGGGGCTCATCTATCGGGAGACTCTCCATGGGGGGGGATCCCATGGGGGGGCAGGAGGGGATCCCCCCCATGGGATCCCCTCCTGCCCCTCCATGGGATCCCCAGGGGATCCTATGGGATCCCCCCCTGGGATCCTATCCCCCCATGGGATCCCCCCCCATGAAGAGTCTCCCGAATCTAACGGATCCGTTCGACGCCATTTCGATTGCAGGTCGATGCAAATTCGACCCAGGTTCGACTCAAGTTCGGCTCAAGTCAACGGACCGGGGGAACGTCAGACTCGAGTACGCCAGAACTCGAGTTTGCCGACGCCTTGTGACGAGCGCGTCCTGGATTTGGACCGCTCAGTTTCCGTGGGATGTTTGTGTCGGGCCGGACGAAAGGGGGGGATTGGGAAAGGGGGGGTTACGAAATCTGCTGCATGCAGCTGGTTTCGGCCCCACCGAGGGGCCCATTCCTCGATACATGACCGCCTCCGGCGCCGGGAGGCGCCGGGAAAATCAGCTACGTGAGCTGATTCCCCAACCCCCCTTTGCTATCCCTAAAACGACGCGAAGATCGGGACAAAATCGGATCGGGATAACTCGAAATCTCTGAGAATCGGCGGGTTTGGAGGATGTATTGGGCCTCGCGGCCGCTCCAGAGCGTTCCGGAACGCTCTGAGAGCGCTCCAGAACGCTCTGGAGCGATTTATCCCGATGCTAGCCCTGTTTTCATCCCCCCCTTTCGCCCGACCCGATTGTGGCGGGAGCTCGCGCCACATCCCAGGCGGGGCCTCGCCGTTCTCTTGCTGGCCCCGTCGGGCCGGCCCGAGAGCCCCCCCCGGCGCCCGAGCCCGACGTCTCTCCCCGAGGAGGCCGAGCCGGACGTCCCGCGCCGCAGCGGCTCCCTGCGGGGCGCGAGCGCCTCCACGGAGGCCTCGGGGGCGGACAGAACCCCCAACAGTGACACGTCGATTAGTGATTCCAGAGCGTACCTCACCTTCCTGCTCCCCATCCTCCCCCTCCTCCTCCTCCTCCCTCCTCCTCCCCCTCCTCCTCCTCCTCCTCCTCCTCCTCTTCCTCCTCCCCTCCTCCCCCTCCTCCTCCTCCTCCCTCCTCCTCCTCCTCCTCGTCCTCCTCCTCCTCCTCCTCCCTCCCTCCCGCCTCCTCCCTCCTCCTACCCCTCCTCCTCCTACAGAACCCCCAACAGTGACACGTC